TGTTTAAATTGGTTTTCGACTAATGCCTTGAAGCACACAAAGACATCATATACATGGGATTTCCGTTTAAGTGGATAATACCAAATATACCATGTATAATGATCGACAAAAATAACATAGTAAGAGAAGAGAATACGCCTAAGAAGATTAGGCTCTGATACCATGTTGAGATAGAGAGAGGAATATTTTGAAACAATGGCTTAGCTATTCCATTGATGAATGAAAAATATATATACAAAAATTGGCATTGTCCGTTGAGTTACCCAAAACACAAAAATAGGAAACTCCTAGAATTACGAGGATATTACAAGAATTTAAAATATAAGGAAAGCCTATTGCAATTAAGTCTCTAATAACAAGTAAGAAATGAATGTTGGTCGTTGCATATGGTTTTGTTTTGTGTCATTGAGGGGATAGGATTTGTAATTCTATATTTGGTATGATAAAAATGCAACCCTAATCTTATAATTCCTTTCCATATATTCAGATTTCCTGTTCTCTTTTTTTAAAAATTTTATAGAATCTGATTACTAACCATACATGAAACCATTTGATTGGTGATTATCTATTAGCTTACACCACGATATAGCTGACGCTAGGGTGAGACCAATAACCCTTCCCATGCGATCCAGAACCCCCACGCCACCCAGTGCTAGCATGAAGGGAAAATGAATTTTAAATTTGAGGTCAATAAGAATTGAAATTAAGCCTAAACCAATTAATGGTAATTAATGGTTTTGTTAAAAATATATCTCACTATTTCAAAAGAAAGTTATTTGGTTTAATTAAAAATAGTAAAAATATATATTTTAAATTTTATACTTATGACAAAAAAAATAAAAAACTAAGAGGTGACGGAGGTCACTCCACCACCTCTCTCCCTCCATCATTGGCTGTAAGCCCATCAATACCTAGGCAACACTTGCAATATATGAATTAGATCTCTACCTGAATGGTTCATATGTTGCAGTATCACGTTCTGAAATAGCATTATTAATAGAAAAAAAAATCACCGTGGAATATCTATGACATTTTCATTTTAAGCATAATTATAATATAAATTTTATTTATGATATATATTTTAAAAAAATTTAAAATTATTTAAAAAAATTAGAATAAGGTGTAGTTCATGTATTTTTTTTATTTTGAAGTAAATAAATCCATATAATTTATAATTAATTAATTATTATAAGTTAAAATATCACACGAACGTGACAAATTAAAAATGCACAGGCTCATGTCTACATGTTATATCAATATGTTTGTTAATATCTAATAACAATTAGTCTACTATTAATTATAAAAGTTATTTAATTCAAAATAAAAATACAAAAACTTGATTGAATATAATAAAATAATAAAAATTTATTTAAATATTTCTAAATAGTCAATTTTTTTAAAAAAAATATTATGTCTTTATTTATTAACAAAATGGGAACATATATACAAATAACAAATCACCATAAATTTTTGTAATTTATTTTTTAAATACTGTTAATATATGATTTTTTTTAATTAATTAGGAAGACAAATGGTTCCATGATATTCAAGGGACCAAGAGGCCAAGGTATGAAGAAATAATCATATGTTGAACTTGAAAATCTATATTCTATACAAAAGGAGGGGGGTTATGAAGCTCAAACAAGGCTTCCAACAGGACTTCCAAAGTTTGTCATGTGAACATCTAGGAGGGGAGCTGTGATGTGTTTGGTGGGTGAGTCGCATCCTGGGAGGTCTAAGCTGAGCAGATCGTATAAGCGGGGGTTTTAAACGCTCCCTCGGGTTGGCTTGGGTCCTGGTAAATTATTAAAAGCAACAGTATAGAATAGAAGCATCGCATGTAAATATTATAAGCGATTAATCTTATCCCAAATTTTTTTAACTGAAGTAGAATAAAATGTTAGGCTATAGGTACATGATGGACCCACTTTGATTTTTGCATGAAAGGTTCATAATCATCAGTTATATTGCCAAGAGAATGTGAAGGCCATGAATCCAATTGGAGCCAAGGTTTGGGGAAGGTTTTGGTTCCAAAGTCAAAAAAATGCCTACTTTTTTGGGGTGGTGGAGAGGGGAAAGGTTATGGACTCAACACAGTGCATGGCTGTATTTTGTAACAGCATGTCATAAAACCCAAACTAAATCTAGCCTCAATGAGTGGTAAACAGGTCTTTATCTTGTATTATGTAAAGCTCTGCCAAAGTCTTGTATTGCATTTTGTTTATAGGTAGAGACTTTTGTTACTAAACTAACAATGAAAGTACAGAGTTACAAACGGTCATAATATTGATCTATATTTTCGCATCACACCTGTTAACTATTTATATATATGATTTTAACTACAGCAGCTTCCATTGTTACTTACCCACTGTAAATTATTAAGATAAAAAAAAAAAAAATTAAAGCAGCTATTAAAACAAACGTGCTACCAACAGTGTGCAACGGACCGGTTTCCCTGTAGTAATTTTAATAATAGCCTAATTAATCATTTTCAACCATTATATATTTACATTAATTATCAATTAATGTTGTATTTAATGCAAAAAGAGCAAACATTAAATATTATTAATTTGTTGTATTTAGCATACGAAGATTTTTATTAAGAAGCCTTTGTGATGTACTTAGGACCACTACATTGAATATTGATTTAATTTTGAAAACATGTTAATAATAGTTTTTAGGGCAATAACAATTAAAATCTTGGAACTTCTCCAACTAAATATGTAAACAAGCAGCCAATTGATCTTTTTTTGATGGAGATAGCACCCTGCTTTCATACTTGACGCCTAGAAACATGTATATAAAGAGAATTTGACACTAGCAATTCATAGAAGCGGGAAAATGAAGCAAGTTCAAGCTCTAATTTCATAGATTTTGCATCAAGGCATAATAACTCAATTTGTTATGCGGATAGGTATCTTACAGCACTACCCTCTCACATATTCTACATGTTTGCACAGACTACAAAATTGCAAAATTCAGGAGACACTAAAACTGAATAACAAAGGATTTCAGGGTATTTGTTCGAAAAAGGAAAATGAAATAAATCAAGAATTCCAGCTAAAGAATGAAAAGCATGATACCTCCCACTGTATGATAACCTTTCACAAATTAGTGCTGTGGAATCCAGGAATAGCAACAGTACGTGCAACTTTGCATCAATCTCCTACATGTATCTATGTTTCCTGCAAACGCATTAAACTCCAATTACTTTCATCTTGTCAGAAACCAAATCTGAGGTATCTTCCTGTTTGCTCTTCAGTATAAGCTGTATGGGATATATCTTCCAATGAGAAACAATGTTATCGTCCGTGAAACTCATTGCTTTGGTTTTTCTTTCGAAGGCTGACAGATCATTTTACAAGCTTCCAACAGAATGACACCAAAGCAGCCACAAATTATCCCATCAGTCACTCATATCATCAATTCCTTCAAAATCACTGACCCCATCAAATGCTTCATCATCAAGTGCTTCCCCATCTTCACTCCCTTGATCAGTTTCCATCGCATCTTCAGATTTCTCTTCGTCACTTTCATCCTTGTCCTCGAATATTACTGGGATTGTGGCATTCTCATCGAACTCATCCTCAACAATCTGTCATAAAAATTGAGAGAAGAAGCAATACCTTATAAATCCGAAGTTTACCTGCAAAATTCCTCCAGCTACAAACTTTAACATAAAACATACCCCTGCATATAGGAAGTCTAAGCAACTAGATATTTGAAGAGCAGATTTGAAAGTTGAGACTCTAGATTCAATAAGCTGCATAAAAAATAAGAAGGGTTAATTCCATAAACCCCCTCCCCAAGTTGCCCTCAAAAAACTGAAAAAAATTAAGATTGAAAAATATTAGAAACAAAAGTAAGATTATTTTTATTGACAAATGAAAAAGGAAAGAACAAAACAACCCAAGCCAAAATAAAAGTCCTATAGGGTTTTCCTTTTCATTTTTTATCTAATTCCCATCATATGGATCTTATTGTTCCTTGCAATAGCCCATAATCAGGATGCAAATGGTTTAGTATTAGAGTTTGAGGGGAAAGAATCTCCATCAGGCCAAGGAAAGAAATAACTTTCTATTGTACTTTCTTTTTCTGTGATACAAGGAAAACATTCCCCAGTGAGCATCAATTCTAAACTAAAAGAAATTCTTGGAAAATAGAAGAAAAACAAAATCCAGACCATTATCAAAATAAAAAATCACATAACTTCAATTTTAAAGAGAAAACAAAGGTCACCAAATAGAAGAAAAAAATGAGAATAACAAGCATAATGGTTGAATAATGTACAATTCTTCAAATTGGCTGTTGCTTTAGCAGACAAAGTATGGAGGTGGAGGTTAACAATGGGATATGATGTCTTTTGTTTAAAAATTGATAAAACTTTTGCAATGAGATCTGGTGGCTGGAAAAATTCTCCTTCTGGTCTCTACCTATCAGGAATTTTCCAACCAAGAAAGAGGTCATAGCAGCGCAAATGATCTACTCAGCTCGCGAGGCATTCAGGCAGACGATGCCAAGGCCATGTAAGACAGCATGGTTGGAAGGGCAGAGAGAGGTTGGTTTGATAGCCCCAGAGGAATCAGTGGATGGTTTGAAGGAGATGGGCAAGAGAGTGAGGAGGATGGCAGTGTTAGGCACTTGGGCAAACTGCTTCACATAAGGGTCTGCCATCCTTCAAGACCCAACAAGTGTGATGGTTTTCAAGTGGATTGACAATTGTGGTTCCTTCATTAAAGACCTTTCAACCCAAAACTGTTGTTCATTCCTTGTTTTCTTTTAGTTTTTTGTCTAAAAATTGTTACGCATACAAAGCAGGGAGTCAATCAATTAACAACAAAATTATTGTTAACTTTTTCAGGGCGATGAAGTCTTTTTGTAAGACAATTTAACTATTAACTAACTGCAGTAGATGGTCAAGGGGGGAAGTGGGTGTTCTCAAACAATGGGGTCAGGGGAATTTTTCAATTTGGGGAGAGGGGTTTTCGGGTTTCACCCAAATGACAAGCGTTCAGGTTATGAGTATTAAGTAGGATATGATTGAAGCTAGCATTAAATTAAAGACCCAATGGTAATGACTTAATTTAAAAAATCACTCATAATAAAGAGTCCCTATCTGACCTGATACAAAGAGTTCAGAGCACGCAAAGAGGATGCCTGGGACATAATTCCACTAGCATGTTGAAGAAGTAAACTTTTTATCCATGGTAGGGCACATGCCAATACTGCACCCCTGCATTGAGTTAGAAACATAACGCCCATTTCAGATTGATAAGGCTTCAGCACAAGTTATACATGAAAAAGAAAAGAATTACATTATCTAACACCTAAAGATAAAAAAGGCATCATTGATCCATTCTCCTGACAAGTTGTAAATACCACAGCACCATTTCTATGTTTTTGATTCAAGATCAGGCCACGTAGTTTCTCAAGGACCAGTCAGCAGAAAGGCCAAGTTAAACCAATGTTTTGTTCTGAGCTCACAAATGATAGTTGTCTAAGTCCAATTTAGTCTCTGCTGCTTGTTGGAAGAATCAAACCAGAATTTAACTAAAAATTTTCTATCAAAATTTAATAAAAACGGCTTGCCTAGCAACATTACTTTCCAACCTTAAATTTGAGAAAAGTGAAAATTTTGACAAAAGAAAAATATATCAAAGCTTTGTGGAACCATAAAAACTTCTAATAGCTAAAAGAATGCCGACTGCAAACCACCCCCTCAATGCTTTCAAAAATGAAAGCTGTAGATTAGATTAGTTATAGAACTACAAAGAACCAAGTGTTGATAGAATCTTAGGAAAAGAACATTTCTGCTTTTGCAGTAAGCTTTAGTCAACAGCAAATACAAGAAGTTCTAAGCCTCCACCTCTTTCTTTCTAAAGCCAAAAATAATAATAATAAAAAAAAAAATTAAAACGGTGCCCATAGCACATTAAGAAGTATAAAAGGAATAAATAACATTGTGAAAAGGGGGAACAAGCAATGAGCCACCATAAATTAAGTAAATAGGCTTTGTTAACATCATCACTCTTTTCTCCAGAAGCAGCAGGAAGGGAATAGACTTCACATATATGATCCTAGTAAGGAAAAAGAAAAAGAGTGCAAGTATCTTCAGACATAATTCATGGGATAACCTTATCCTGGTCAAGCATATATCCTTTACCTTGATTGAATCATTGATATAAGAGATTGTAAAAGCTGGAGAACATCAGATGGATTTAGTTGAGAGACTGATTTTGCAATAACCTGAAAAAGGAGAACTTTATCATATTAACATTAGCAAAACATATATGTCAAGCACACTTCCATCACTAAAAAAATCTCTGTAAGAATTGACCTTCTCATCTTGGTTGTATAAGCAATCTAATAGAAGTGCACGATCATCAGCATGTAATGCCTGCATAAGCAGAACATTAACTGAATCTGCAATGGGAGGCTTGGCAAGAGGAGAGGATTCTTCTCTTTCTTGCTTTTCATGGGATTCACTTTTTCCATTTTCTACTAAATTTAAACTCGCAAGTTTCTCACCCATGGTAGGCTCATTCAGATCATCATCAAGGACTCCATCTACATTTTCTCCGTGACCTATTTCAAAATCAGCAATGAATAAATCTCCAGAGAAGATGAAGGAGCTTATTCAGCAACTAATAACAAATAATGTATCATATTGACAACTAGATGATGTGGTATATTACACTCTGTTCTTGACATTGCCTTATCTGACATATCACAAGATGCTTCCTCAGAAGACACGTTCCCCATCCAAAAAATTAAGATTGAATTGTGAAATTGCAATCAATTCCATGTAGTACACACAAACAAAAAAGTATAGCATACATCGTATTTTAATATTTCATTCTTCTTAGCAAAGGGTGTTGTAAAACATTGATATATTTCTGCCTACTACATACATGCAAAAAAGTGATACGCTAAGATATTCATAAAGAATATTGTTCTAAGGCAACCAGGATTATTTGAGCTGGAACGGGGAAGGGGAAGTAGTACATGACTATCATTTAACGACAGAAGTGAGGCAGTGCATAATTTGACTCCGATCCAAATGCTATTAGTGTTTAAAAGCAGATGCTTCAAAAAGAAAATCCATTCATGAGATCAAGAATCTAACCAGGGCCTATAGTTAAATCAAGCCATTATTTAGCAACCCTCACCAGTATAATTTATGCCTCTTGTAGTTGCAACGTCTGGAGCAGCAGCAGCTCTTTTCTTATTCGATTTTCTTATTCGATTTTCCATTGCGATTAACTGCCGCTACAGTCTCTGCCACATAAATTTTCTCTGGTTATACTTATACCTTCTACTTAAAAGCACAGGAATAATGATCAAATGGACTTAATTTTGGTTACAGACTTCAGTCACATAAATTCAAGTTAAAACATTATTCATTTTACAATTAAAAGCATAAGGTAAAATCGCATCATATACAAAAGGAAACAAAATAATAATATTAAACTTTCCCAATTCATTGATCATTTGTAATGATCAAATAACTTCCTCAGGAAACATTCATTGATCATTTGTTTATAATGGACATTTCAAAATCATAGCTTTACTAAAAGCTTCAATCCCATAGCACCTATACATTGAAAATAGTCATTACAAGCATCTAAAATGTAACTGCATAAACAACAGCAAAACAACATGTGTGAAAGCAAGCTCATCATTCCAATGTACCGAATTCAGTCCATCATCCATTTCCTTTTCCTAATTCATCTCAGTGCTCAAGTAAATCATTTTTGCACATGAAACAATAATAGAAAGAAATAATAAAGTAGGTTACTGAAATTATAGACACTCATTTTTTAAAAAAAAATATTTATAAAAGGAAAAAATAAAATTAACCAAAATCAAAATTTGATAAAAAAATCAAAAATGAAAGAAGAAAGAAAAAATTAATAAAAGAAAGAACAAAAACTGGCCAGCTGGACATGGCGACAAAGCCATGCCGTTACCATACAAAATCACAACCCAAAAATCCCAAAAAAAAAACATCAATGAAAATGGGAGAGAGGGCTTGAGGTTAGCATCGCTATTTTAGGGAGTTCTTGAAAGTTTTTTTTAGGGTTAGCCGCTTAGGTTGGGTTACAAAATTTGAAGAAAGAAGAAAAGCAAAGGTTGCCGGAGCTGAAGAGAGTACCAGAGTTGGGGGTTTCTTGGCTTCGCCGCCGCCAGACAGGCAGTTGTAAAGGGCATCTACGATTTTGGTTTCAGAGGGGAGTGTGCTAGAAAGAACAAGAAAGATGTTGGAAGGAGGAGTTTAGGGTTTAGAAAATAGCTTTATCTAGCTAGAGTTGCTCGAAGAGAAAGCATTAAACGGTGCCGTTGAGAGAGAAGAAAGATGGGGAAAGCTGGTGGCCATGAAAGCGCTAAACGGCGCCGTATTCGCAGAAAGAGAGAAGCCTCTCAAAGCACCAAACGGTGCGTTTGGACCTTGGGGAAGGCTGTTGGTAATGGGCTACACTAAGCCCATACGGTTGCCATTGGGTCCTTTGGATTCTGGACTCAAACAATCCAAGCTTTGTACGGACTTCTTTGAGCTTTGTTGTTGTTTGCGTCATATTATTATATCAGGTTATATTGTTTATTATGTTTTGTTAAGCCATTTAATTTGTTAGTTTAGTTTAATTAGGCTTTCAAATTTAAATGGTAATTTTTTAGCTTTTATTTAGCTAGTAAGTTAAATGATAGTAATAACTAGAATTGACCCTATGCATTGCGCTTGGGTCAAATCAGAAAAAAGAAAGATGTTTATAGAAATATTTTTGTATTTATGAGTGTGCACTATACCCAAACACATGCTCGAAAACAAGGAAAAACCAAAGTCATATGTGATGAACATATATGAAAAACTTTTGTGGTCAACGCTTTTCAAATACTTATGAGTGGATTATATGCAACATCAATAATTACATATTTCATGCTAAGTTGGAATCGAAACATTTGTTGTGGTTGACTTCAAAAAAAAATTGAATAGAATGAAATATAATCTCTTGTTTATGCCTAATTGATCTCACCAAAACACCTAGACTCCAAGTATGATCAAGTAATAGGAAGATGAGATCAGTAAGTACATAAACTAAGCTTAATATCCATGATTAGTTGCACATTTCAAAGACTTGCAGAACTAAGCTTCCACTTTTAGCAAAACAATTGGATTTACAGATTATTCATATTAATTATCAAAAACTATTATTAAACTGAAAAATCTTAATTTTGAACACTCAAATGGTACATCTTTGTCAACCTCATCAAATTTCTTGATCTTCTTGTCATAAAGATCGTATGCCTAATAGTACGAAGACCGTTTTGTCCCTATGTGAATAGTTTAAAATATTTTATAACTATCAAAGTACAAAGTCCTATTATAATCTGAATCACTATATAAAAATTTTTTTGACTACATTAATCAAACACTATAAAATATTTTATAACTATCAAAGTACAAAGTCCCACTATAATCGGAGTAGAGAACAAAATTAAAAAAAGAAATCAAATAAATAAACAAAACAAAAGTAAAGGAAGAATCAAAGGTTTTTATTAATTCCAATCGGTTAAGTATAGTTTTTTTTTTCAAATTCCCTTTTCATGAAAAAAGGAAAAAGCAAACCAATAAGAAAAAGAAGAAAAAAAGATAAATACAATAAACTTAAAAGAATCAAAACACAACACTACTTATGGATGTGCTAAAGGCAACTTCCTATAATAAAAAAGATAAATATAATAAATTCCTTATTTCTTGTAAGAAATGGAAAAGCAAGAGGAAAAAAGAGACCTTTAACATAATTGCAAGTGCCAAGCTCATCTCCTTTCCTAGCTTTCTCTTTACTCTTTGAAGTGCTGTGTTGTTGATTTTACACACGTAAGTATACATACCGAATAAGTAATATAGACAGTAAGTCCAGATTATCGTTTTCACAAAAATTTATTTTTAAAGGTTTACTAAGTACTAAAATTATATAACAAATTAATTTTATTTAAACTAACTGAAAATTGAAAAGCTAATTAAAAACAAAATTAAAAAGAAACAATAAATTAACCAGCAAAAACAACTAAATATGTTGAAAGAAGCAATAAATAGAAGACTTAGGATCATGAGTTTATTCAACAGTTCATCCAATACCTACTTTTCTTGTTATTTATCTGGGTGATTTTACTAACCAAGAATCTAAAGCTATGGATAAGTCTCAGTCGAGATGCTTGTACAAACACATAACTTAATTAGTTCATTGTATGTCTATAGGAATCAATTAAATTAAGTTCATTAAGCAAGTGTCCTAATTTGGTTATGTATGACAATTGGCGTATGTCTACCCGAATTGAGAATCGGATCACCTAAGTGACATGAATATACACTATTCAAATCTTAGTCCAATTTAAAATTTCTCTGTTGAGTTTCAATTATATTTAGTAATCAATTAATTATTGATCAGACAATTAAAGGCATTAAGAACATATTTGAATAAGTAAAACAATACACATTTGTAATAAACAATAGAAAAACCAATATTCAGGCTACATGTTGAAATTCACCATACTCTTAGGTAAGCAAATAAGTTCATAATATCTAAATAAAACACTATAAATTTAGCCATAAATTCAAAACAAAAAAATAAGAATAACACAAAAGAAGATAAATAAACTAATATCGAAGCCTGATTGATTGCCAATCTCTCTCAATTGCTCTTGAATTCTTGCTTAATTCTTAACTCCAATTCTCCAAAAAAGTTTCTCTCATTTTTCCTTCTGAATACTCTCAAAAAGCCTCTTAAATATGTGCAAGATGCCCTACTTTCCAACTTGCTGTCAAAATTTTTAATTTTGGTAACCAAGGTGGCGGCACGACCATGATTCCTTGGTGTCGTCGTGCCATGACAAGCTTTGGTTGTGTTGTGGTGCTCTTTTTCTGGCTCCACGCCACCATTCTCTTGGCCTTTAGTATGATGTGTCTATCCAACCCAACACCGTGGCCACAAGCTTCCAACGCTGTGGCAATGGTCCCTTCAACATCACGCCCTTGAGTGACTCAGCCCCGCAACCTCAGTTACCATGCTGCCTTGTGTGTAGTCTACATTTGTCTATCATCTTCAACATGATTTTCACCTGGATTTCGTTCAAACTAGTCAAAGTTGTAAACATGAAAGTTCTATCCCATTCTATTAACTTTCTAATGAATCAAAAATCACATCAATTGGACTTCTATAACTCAAGTTATCTTTAAATTATCGCAGTATGTGTGAGTGACGCCTTCACCATGCTTGCGCTATCATAACTTAATTTCACTTTACTTATCACATATCTTGCACATAACCATGAGAGAAATCGACATTAACTCTTCTTAAAGTAAACTAAACTAAAACAACTTAATCTAACTATTCAACATATAATCTAACTTAACTTAGAAGAACAATTAAAATGCTCAAACCAAACCTAAAACTCAAAAGTCTAACTACTAAAGTCTCTAAAATGTGTTAAAAATAACTTTATATAACATAATTATTAAACCCCTAAACTCAAGATTTTACAAGTCCTTGAGCAAAACATAGAACTAAATGTAATAACCTCAACATAAAAACATTTAACTAGAGTTCAATTGCTCCATTTCATTATTTACTTTTAATATCCTCAAAAGTTCCTCCATATTCATAACTATAATCCACATACAAATATTATTCAAGTTCATGTCTTAATTCAAATGCAAGCTTATTATAAGTGAATTTCCATGTGTGTGTACAATCTTCTCACCTATACATTGTACAATCTGGATAAGTTTATATTCATGCAAAATTCAAAATTAGTAATGAAATTTCATAAGTTTACTTTTTATCTCTCTCTCCACTAATGTAGACTAACACTAAATCAAGGATCAATAGGATTTTAATTAGCTTGTAATGTATGGCTAAGGTCAAGGTGAGATATGGAACAATGCATGGCTCAAATCATCCTAAGCACATAGTCACTCTATTAAGAGCTTTATCTTCCTTCTCCTAATATACCCCTTTTCATCAAGACTTTTCTTTTGTTCATCACTTCATCCTTTTTCTTCTTTTTTCTTTCCCTTTTTCTTTTTCTCAATTTCACACCCCCAAACTTATTTCTTTGATTCGATAGTGAGATGAATACAATCATATTTTGAACTTTTCTTCATTTTTCATCTTGACTACCTTTTTCATTATGCAGCTCAAAAAACTTCTTAAATTGACTTATGCGCTTAGGAATGAGGGATGCAATAATAGTTGAAAACATTAATATAGGAGTCTAGGCTAAAAATTAAGTGTTCAAACAAAGAAAAGATGTCATTAGGCTTAAAGGGGAAAACTAAGGATAATTTATGCAAAGAAAAGCTACAAAAGGCTCAATCGGTCCAAAAATAGCCTAAATCATTTCTTTTGACCAAGTGTAATCTAGAATTTCACCTCGAGAGAGAATCAAACAAATTCTAGAACTTAATATATAATTCAAAATTTTCACATTCACATAAACCTTCTCTAAATTCATATAATGAATCTAAGCAATAAACATGGTGCTCAAAATGTAAAGATTTCATCTTAACAATAAAGCTTAGCATAAGAATTTATATAACTCTCAAACAATATTCATATGTTTCGAATAATCAAAATAAGCATGAAACTATGTTATTATCATTGGATAGGTAAACTAAACGGAAATGGCACAATTAAATCTAGTTCAAATGCAAATGCACATGTATCAATTTAAATTAAAATTTACTACTTTAACCACTAACTTAAAATTTCCCCCAAACTTAAAAATAACATTGTCCTCAATGTTAAATAAAGTAAGGTAAAGGAAAACTCCCTTCACTGGCAGGTTGTCTCTAGATATCCTCGACCTCATTGTCATCTGGTAAGTCCTCTCGCTGTGGGATCATTGGGGAGCATAGGAAAACATCTCATACCATACCAACATGTTTAGCATAAGTACGCATCATTTACTCCATGGATTGCATACATTCGGCCTAATAATCCATTCAAAGCTCAAAGTCATTCCATCCTCTGAGACATGGATAGATGTTGAGGTGGCCTCCAAGGTGAAAGATGATGTGGAACTGAAGAAGAACTATCATCGGCAGCTGGTAACTCGCGAGCATAAAATTGATTCACAATTCTGGCATCCAATGGTGCTTTCGGTTGCAAGATTTCTTCATTTTTATCCCAACTAACACCCACTTTCGTACACAGGGCAGTGATCAACAAGGGATACTAGAGCTTATCCTTAAGTGAATAGGTCACTTGAACAATGCTATTGAATATCACTTGGCCGACATTGATTGACATGCCATAAGTAATTGCATATCACAAAATAGCTCGATCTCATTTCACATCACTAATATGTTTCATAGGAAGCAGCCTTAAAGTTAAAAAGTGATACTAGATCTTATGAAATGTCTTCATGGTATTGGCCTTAAAAGACAGAGGTACGCCTTTTGTCATTTTCCATTCCACCCTCTCATCACAAAGCACACCAAAAACCCCATCCAAATCAATGTAGCCCATCAAGAATTGGTTATAGTCATCATGCTCAATATTAGGTAACCTATAAATTTGATTGATGGTTGCACTATCAAAACGAACTTGACATCATCATACAAACACTTGGCCATGAACGTGCTCAATGGAATTGGCATAGAATTCATGAACCACTAGTAAGACAACGACCTCAGGTTATTCACAAAATTGCTCCCATTGTGGCTCAGTGATGACCTTATGAACCAAACCATATAACTTAAGATGGAAATCAATGCCCCGCTCTGGAATTGGGACTTTATGCATCAGTGATTGTGTATGTCTCTCAACGGCATCAGTAAACACAAATTTGCTACGATTGAATCGAGTCCTACTACCACTCTCGTGAGTTGTTTTCTTGGGGGCCATTTTGTTCAAATAAAAAATACTTCCTCTTAAAACAAGCAACAACAGTCCAAGTAAATTCCTCATTCAATGATATATTATTATTTGAAAATACCATTATACCATCTCACTAATTCTATGCCAATGCAAATATTAATGGGCATTATTCATACTCACCAAAAAAACAAAACTAAGTTCATCACAAATCTAGGAAAGATAAAGAAAACCCAACACACCTAAGTTATACTAGCATAGATTCGAGCAACCCATTCATCAATTAACATCAAACATTCCCACAATATTCCTAGCTAACAAATCTGAAAAAAAAAAGAGTGAAAGAACTTGACTCACTTAATTGAACAACGCAAAAAATTAGAGAATGAATGGAAGAATACCCTTACTTATCACAAAGAAGTGAGAAAATGCAAAAATTATGAATGGGTGTGAAGTGGATGGAAGAAAGAAGAAGAAGTGTAAAGGGTAGAGAGAGAAAAGAACCCTAAAATATGAAGAGAGATGAGAGAAAGGAAAAAATTTTGAGCCTTTAAAGAAAAGCCTTGTTACACAACATCGTGGCGTTTTAGCTCTAGCCCAATATATGGGTTTAGTTAAATGGTCAACATCATGGAGTTGACTTTATAGCACCACAATAGCTTCTTTTTGGGTTTTTGTATGAGATAAGGCTTAATGCGCCAGGCCGCGACACTGAGTAAATAAAGCTACAACGTCTTTTTTTGTTTTTTATAACTTACCTCATGAAAGTTCCAAACCTACAATAATCAAAGAAAAATCAATCAAAATTGGAAAGAGAAAATAAAAATGACAACTTAAAATTCATAATTAACTTGAATTAAAATGACTACGAAAATAAATGATGTTGAGAAACTTGGGTTGCCTCCCAAGAAGAGCTTCGTTTAAGGTCATTAGGTGGACTATTGTGAAGTTCATTTGGGGTCGGAGAGATGGATGGATGATCGATGTAGATCAATAGGTCCACCCTAGTAGTGCTTCAATCATTTTCAATTCACCTTGGATGCCTCATTGGTCAACCTATCAATTATTTCCACTGTTCCATGGGGAAACACTTTTGACACACTAAAAGGTCCTAGCCATGTCGATTTCAATTTCCTTGGAAATAATTTCAATCGCGAATTAAACAACAAAACTTGCTGACCTGGCTCAAAATGGCGCTCAACAATCTTTTGATCATGCCATCTTTTTGTCTTTTCCTAAAACAATTTGGCATTCTAATAAGGATCCAAGTGAATTTCAGCCATCTTATTCAATTGAAGCAATCTTTTCTCAGTTGCTACTTCTAAATCAAAATTCAATTTATTGATTGCCCAAAATGCATTATGTTCCAATTCAACTGAGAGGTGACACGATTTTCCAAAAACCAATCGATCTGGGGACATACCTATTAGAGTTTTGTAAGCAATCCTAAATGCCCACAATGCATCGTCAAATTTATTATCCCAATCCTTCTTCGATGGTGATACCACTTTCTCAAGAATTCTTTTGATTTCCTAGTTTGATACTTCCATTTGTTCACTTGTTTGAGAGTAACAAGATGTGGCTACCTTGTGTGATACTCCATACCTTGTGAGTAACACTATAAAATATTTATTATAGAAATTACTTCCTTCATCACTCACAATAGCTCTTGGTGTACCAAATTTGGTGAAAATGCTCTTCTTTAAAAATTTCATCACCACTTTAGCATCATTTGTAGGCAAGCCTAAGGCTTCTATCTACTTTGACTCAAAGTCGACAATCACCAAGATGTATTGATTATTGAATGATGATATGAATGGTCCCATGAAATCGACTCCTTAGACATCGAAAATCTTTACTTCCAAAATGTTGTTCAGTGGCATTTCACGTCTTTTGGAAATGTTTCCAACTCTTTAACATCAGTCACAATACAACACAAAATTATGAGCATCTTTAATTAATGTTGGCCAATTCAAACCTGATTGAAAGACTTTGGTCATTGCTCTATCGCTTCCACAATGACCCCCACAGTCTAATGAGAAACAATGTCTCAACACATTTTCAACTTCTTCCTCTAGAATGCACCTTTTTATAATTCTGTCAGCACATGGCTTAAATAAAAATGGTTCATCCCACAAATAATGTAATGACTTTCTCTCCGATCATTATCGGTGTTCGAGTCTCACGGGAAAACCCGTCAAGTCCCGAACAAGTCTTAATTCAAACTTTAGTCATTATGCGATCAATTCATGAAATTGCTTTGAACCATTTTCCTATTTGTAATAAGAATTGAACTTAAATCATAATAAGCCATCTTATCCTTTATTCACCATAATCGGAAGAATGCATTAGAGTCTATAGTATTTAACTGTGCATTTACATTGATACTATTTACAAATACATCAAGCTAAGAATGACTCGACCTTTAGTAGTGGAATGACTCGGAATAAAGTACTATAAGATGCCATTACCTATGTTGCAGCAAGTCTCAAGGTGTTGAGCAATGCACTTGAGCTGATTATATCTGCAAAAAGAAGATAAGGGGGTAAGTCTCACAGACTCAGTGATCATCAACTTCGTGAGTAAGGCGTAAATGGGAAACAAGCCAAGGCAGAAAATTTGAATATATAAAAACTTAAGAACATATAATCCATTTAAAAGCAAATGGGACATTTGTGCCTTACATATAAAATCAAGGATTTTTATGCAAGAAATCATTTAACCATCATTGTCTTAAAACCAATGTGAGTGAAAGATTTCTATAATCGAAATCACTTAATGTCTTTTACTTAAAATCGGACTAACATAAGCACGTATGCTCCCATGAAATCAACATTATTAAAGCTTTTACATAAGCTTATAAATCATCTCATCCCCGAGGAATTAAACACAATGTCATTAATTCACAATCAACAAATAAAGCAATGAAAGCTTTTAATCAAATAGGGGAGCTGCGAAAAAACTAATATTTCTCACCATACAAAAAAAGTCATGTTTGAAAACCCAAAGAAATATCACTCTCAAGTAGGTAATCGTAAATATTAACCTATGGACACGTTTCCACGTAATAACAATCTGGGAGCATCACTCCATCGGATTTGCACATGCCATGGCAATCTCAACAATGTTGGCCGACATCGAAGAAATCAGGCAGTCACAACAACGAATATCACTTTTGGCCTAGCCACATATAACAACCCTTGGCCTTGTTACGTATATCACAGACCATGGCCTCTGCCATGTCTAACAACTTGTCGGTGACCTAATGGTTCTCTAGTTAGAACTCACTTGTGCACAAGGATCACACTATCCTGATGTGACATTTGGCCTACTCTCGAATCTCTTGGTTTAATAAAACCACTTAAAAGTTAAAGTGGATTTTCAAAGGATCATTTCAAATCATTTTCAAAATACAAATCACAGTAACATGATAAAACTCCTTTTTTTTGTAAGACTTACATTATAAACCTTTTGCATAAGGTTTAGATGTCAAATCAGCATGGTGAATATGAAATTCATTCATGAATGCACATCACCAAATCAATAAGGCACATTTTGATAGAAATTGTGCTAAAAAGCTCGTTTCTCGGTTTTCAAAATCCTTTACATATATAACTCATATACATATAGTCAAAACAATTTCAAACACTTTAGCATCCACAATTGCCTAAGATATATACTAGCTCATGCTGTCCACAAATTGCATTTAAGTAAATTGACACATCAAGTAATCGTATAGCAATATATATATATATATATAGTATGAAAATTTGGAAATCAACACCCCCTACTCACCTTATAATAGTGAGATGCTACATCGCTATTAATTCAAGTGCGTATCTAGCTAACTTTTTTCACCGGTCACCGTTACCTCATCCGACACGCCACTATGACAAATTTTCCTGGCTACAAAATAAACTCTATATGCTTAATCATACACATATATGGGCAGTAGCTTGATTAATGATTCCTTAACCAAATTTCATATTTTTCATCAACCTCAATCACAAGCATGTTAACAAGCATTCCACATACCATCAACTGTTCATAACCAACACAACATAATTTAGACGCACTGCATGCCCACCTCTCAGTTTTAGCTTGAGTTCCACATATGGTTCACAATTTCCTCCCATCCATGGTCATCATTGCTGTCACAAACATAAACAATTAGCATACATCTCATTTTTCTTATTTACTTGTGATTTCAAGACCAAAATACTTATTACCCATTGCTTATCTAGCTCAAAATCACCATACATTCCAAGATCCACCTCTATGCATGCATTTATTTCTTTCAATTCTTGGAAGACGTTTGCTGTCGCAATATTTTCACACAATCACCAACTCATTTCCTCAAGAAATTCATAATCAAAATCGAAGTTCTACTTACCTTCCTTAGCTTGGAACCACTAGGTTAAACCTTCCTTATCTTTTTTTTCTTTCTCCTTTCTTTCTCTTTTCTTCCTTTCTCTTTTTGCTTCCAAGCTAATTCTTTCTCTTTTTCTTTCCAAGGGTGTGAGTTTTCTCAAGGCAAAATCATTTTGCCATTTCTTGGTGTGGGTGGATTCTCCCAAGTTCCGCACACTCAAATTTTCTTTTTTTTCTTCTCTCATGGGCGGATTGTCGAAGGCTTGGTCATTTTGTCATTTTCCTTTTACTTTCATGTGGTTAAAATCACAAGGTAAAAAGGCTTTTGAAACCTTTCCACCAACCACCTTCATTGTCCATTCTTTTTCCATTAGTTTATTTTCTTTTCTCTTTATATGTCATGTCAATCAATTCTTCTCTTTATTATTAACGCCACCTCTCATTGGTGGTTTGTGCATACAAGGTTTTGCTTGTCCATTCCTTCATCCGTTGGTTAGATTTCCTTGTCCATGCATTGGTTCACATGGTGTTCTCTTTAGATTTATTTCATTTGCATTTCATTCCACATGTGTTTCTATGCATTTCATTTTTCATTTCCTTTTAATGCCACCTTATCACTCAATAACACTTCATGCACAAGCTTCACTTTACATTTTATTTGGCCATTTATGCAACCACTCAAGTCACATGCAACCCACATTTCACTTTCCTCATTTGACCACCTAATGCATCAATCACATTACATGCAAATAAACTTAACTTTATTTTTCCTTTTTCTTCACATGATAAGGGTCTCACATGTCCCCCACTAACTTCTTCTTTTTACATGCTATGATTTGCATGTAATAGTAAATTCACATGTATATTTCACATTCCACATAATTTAACCTTCCTTGTTTAGTAAATT